CGCTCTAATTTGTTGCACCCTCTCCCTATTGCGACACAAGGAGAACTTGACTTTAAAGCTATGTGCTAACTAGGGATATTAGGAGCAGGTCAGAGAGATCTATAGCTTAATAACACATCAGATAAAATCCCCCCACCCTACAGATATGACTCAGAATCTGAAATGCTGCTGTCAAATTAGTAAAATGAATTTCCTATAATTGTCAAGAAAAGAAAGAGCAGAAAGAATACCCGTGGATGAATTCCTTGTGCCTGGTATGTAGGAGTGTTTTACACTGTGCACTAATTATATAAGATGGTGGGCAGACAGAAGAATGAGATACTGGGCTGTAACAGCATCAAGTATTCAAAAACTCAACTTTAAAGGAAGCACATTTCGTTGCGGATGGTGACAGACAGAGCAGGTCAGTTCTCCCAACACAAAAAAAACCGTATACAAGTAACACGCAACACTGAACTCGAGGCTAAAGACGCGGTTACTTTGACAAGGTCGTCTTCTCAACTACACAAGCATTAATGCTGGAGGCTTTTCAGAACCCAACATACTTTTTCAGTTTTCTAAATTAAATGCTCACTCATGAATAAACCCCTACTTGACCAACCCAGTTATGTAAATCATTATCATATGTAGGTTATACACTGATACCTGTCAAAATTATCACCATATATAGATCAATCTGTCCAGACAAACAGGATTGTTCTATTGATGTCTCAAAGGCTTTCTAAATATACCACTGAAAGTGTATTTAATTTTGTTAGAACCAATTACAATATATACATGGACCTATTCAAAGTTTAAATAACACAATCTTTGGTTGAAGTTTTTGTAATCAATATATAGAGTAGACATATAAACGTGATTTACTTTAAATCCGACACACAGAATGCCCTACCCTAACAATCAGACGTGTTCCAATCACAAGCCATTACTGGAATTCCCAAACACTGCCAGACAACATCGAAAGTCGACCAATTTAAGTGTCACATCATAACCTAAGTAAGCATAACTCTTATATATTGACCGGTAAACTGACACACAGATGTCTGGCAAAACTTTTGAAGCATTGTATACAAATTTTGGATCTGATTCATCATAAGAGTTGCCATGGTAATTGCCTCTGCCATTTGCTGGTGCCCAATTGGTTCCCTTCCTCGGGCTGGTGGCCTTTTGTGGGACGGATGGCAGTGAAAGGTCTGTAACTGATTCTTTACAAATATGCAGCCCGCTAATTTTCTTTACACAAATCATCACAGTATTTTTCCACAGGGATGTCTGGGGATTGTAAGGTTCAGTTATTGAAATTTTAAAGCAGAAATCTAATTTCTCCTTTCGTGTTAAAAACCATTTTAACATTTGACTACACCTCGGGTGTCGTATACAAACACAAGAGCTGTTCCTACCGGATCAAGAGGAACCAACATTCCTCATCCTTCCATAGACACATGCTTTACTGTTGCTCAGTGATCTCACAGCTAAAACTAGAACATTACTGGAATGAACCCTTAGTAACTATCAAGTTTTCTGCAAATTTCCTGATGAAATTGAAATTGACAACATAATTTGAATTGTAAAAAAATATAAATTGTGCATTTCTGCAATAATTTTAACTAAACATAATTACTTTAATTAAAAGTGAATCTTATTCTGTGATACTCCTCGACATTCACCTAATTGCTGTACTACATGGGTAAAGAGTTTGTCGGATCTTTAAATCTTCCTGTATGACATATACTTCAGAAGGTGTATTCTCCCGAACGCGTCACCTTTCAAATAATCACGTACATGGCCTCTCCTGAGAATGCCTTAAACCGACAAAGTTCATCGAAATCTTTCAAGTCACTTCTACGTCTTTCTCTATGAATAAAAAAAAAGTTTCAAGTTGACATCAACTTTTTTTTTCTGTCTCATTTCCAGACAGAATACATCTCTCTTGACAACTTTGCGAAACCCTGATTCCTCAAAAAGTACAAAGGCCTCTGACATGAGGAGAGATATTTGTTCCTTAGTGTAAAATACTCCAATGATACGCCAGTACTTATACAGACTAGACAACACACTTAAACCTTGTACCCTCAACTATAGCCAAGTTCAAAATCATGTCAACTTTTTTCCCATGTTTAGTACTTTAATGGAGAAAAAAAATTGTACAATCTATTGTAGAATCTTATATGTCTATTGGAAACTTGACAGTTTCTTTTATCGAAAGTCTTAAAAACAGTATCATGACTTGGCACACTATCAAACATCTTTGAGATCAAGATGAAAACAGACAGATAGAAAATGATTTAAATCTACACAACATTCTAACTTATAGGATTGCAGTAGTACATTTCACTGCAACCCAGACAAACAAAGATACTGTTTAAGTGCAAATAAACAATATCTTTTGATTTGAATGATTCACATTTAACGGATATTGTACTTTGGCAAGATGACGCCAGACTCACTAAAACCTTACAGCGTTGGTATTAAACTTGTTGAGGGTTACAAATACCCCCACACTCATTTCTTCTACATGACAAATCAAATCTTAAATCTTCATATATTTGACCAAATGTATTTGTTTTCAGAATAAATGTCCTGAATTTCGGTTATATTTCAGCTCACAATTTCTATTTGCCCCGACCTGCTTTGTCTCCTGTCGGGCGTTAATTCCATCATGCCGTGACAAATAGTCTGTGTTATTAATGGAGCTCGGCGATGATCTACCCAGTGCTTTTCATTTGGCCCTAAATGACGCATCGCCCGAATAATGTTTAAAGAAAAGCACAAGAAGTCTACCTCCATCATCCGATCTACAGAAGAGTTTTTTGATGGATGTGGGGAAAGGAAATGTGTGCAACATTTCCGTAAACGGACAGGAAATTCATCCTACACACCAGGCATGGCGAGAAATTATGAGAGAAATATCCATCATAATTACGCTCATTCTAAATGGGAAAATTCATTTGATCAAGTGACTGGAGATAAAAGGGGCACATTCCCATTGACAGTAATTAATTCTGGAGGATCAACCTGTGTCTATGATCAACGCTCCTGAGGCTTCAAGCATTTGTTGCTTCCAGCTGAAGTCATAAAATTGGAGTTGTTGCCGGAAAGTAAAATTCCTTGTCTTGGTTCTGGTGTAATTAACACACGACTCGTACAAAGCAGGTGAGCATTGAGACAAGTCGGTGGTACCGGTTTAGGTCCTTAGTATCGACATTAAAACCGGCGTCACGCTGCTTCCAACATCTTAACATTGTCACGGACAAACCACCAAGAAGAAATTCTGATCAATTTCGATTTTTTTTTAATTGTCAGAGGCAACATTAAAAGGTTCAAAATCTGAAAATCTACAAGAAACGCATCGTAGCAGAAAGAGAGGTCAGGGTCAGTATGCAATTGATGCTATATCTGACAAACCACCAACATTTTCTAGAAGTAATTTCTATGTGTGAGAATCTACACCATCTGATTGACCTGATCTACCACAGCTTTTGACACGACATTTCAGTGCTCGTTCTTGCTTTCCCGAGGAAGATTAATGTATGTGATCCAAAGGGAAGCAACTCTTGTCAATTGCAACATTTTTTTTCCAGTACTGGATCACACGACGTAAAAAGAATGACCTTCTGAGTCAAGCTACAATGTTATGGCCTCCTGTTGCACGCATTACAATTCATGGCAGATTCCTGCATTCGTACCTTCTTTTTTTTTTTTTTTTTTTTTTTCAAACCCACTGAATTTTCCCAATTTTATCTTTGGCTTTCTCCAGGAGTCGCTGCTGAATGAATTATTTAAACTAATTTGAAAAACAGTAGAATCTTGGTAAAATAATCGCACAGTAATTTCAGGGGAACACAACAAAAATAGTTACAATTTTCTACCATCCTGTCTGCTTTTATTAGTCATAAACACTACAACCCTTGGTAAAACCAGATTTGGCCAACTGTAGAAATAGGATAATAATGAGAATGCCATAATCCATATCACTCATTATATACAAACTAGTGTGTAACAGACAGGGCACATCAACCTGTTCTCTAGAAATATACCTGTTGAATTGTATGTTTATCATCAGAAATTAGTATTTCTTGAGGACTTAACATGTTAATAGACACATGCATGTCCTGAATGAACCCTGTGTAATCTGAAAACCTTTATAACCAGATATTCAAATAGGTCATAAATGTGTTCATTTCTTTATAACTCTGTAAAGCAGAAACCTTAACGAACCAAACCTTTAAATATGTTCTACTGAATAGTTTTTTGTAACCTTGTAAAATTTGGAGACCTTTGTAAACCTAGTACCCTAGACTTGAAAAGCGAGTCACAGAAAAGTTTCCTAGTACCCTGATAACTGACACCATCAACAGTAGCAATCACAGGTACCCAGACTCTAACAGTAGAGATGTCTTGTACCCCACAGGTAAAAAGATTCTACCGTTGGAGTTCAATAAGGGACTAGATTGGTTTTACTGGTAATTAAAGAGAAGACACTGGCAAGTGTACCATTAGTACTATCAGTTACTTACTTGTCCTCAAGGGAACACCAGCCACAGTAGGGATCCCTGGCACCCAGGTTGTTACTATCAGTTACTTACTTGCCCTCAAGGGAACACCAGCCACAGTAGGGATCCCTGGCACCCAGGTTGTTACTATCAGTTACTTCCTTGTCCTCAAGGGAACACCAGCCACAGTAGGGATCCCTGGTACCCAGTTTAGTACTATCAGTTACTTACTTGTCCTCAAGGGAACCCCAGCCACAGTAGGGATCCCTGGCACCCAGGTTGTTACTATCAGTTACTTCCTTGTCCTCAAGGGAACCCCAGCCACAGTAGGGATCCCTGGCACCCAGGTTGTTACTATCAGTTACTTACTTGCCCTCAAGGGAACACCAGCCACAGTAGGGATCCCTGGTACCCAGTTTAGTACTATCAGTTACTTACTTGTCCTCAAGGGAACCCCAGCCACAGTAGGGATCCCTGGTACCCAGGTTATTACTATCAGTTACTTACTTGTCCTCAAGGGAACACCAGCCACAGTAGGGATCCCTGGTACCCAGACACGTATCACAAGTCTTATACTGGCTGCAGTTCTTCACCACAATCTTGTAAATCTGCAAAATACAAAAGGTTCATGTTAGAATAAGATGTGAAGCTGACTTTCAGAGTAACTTTTATCCTGTCTATAGATGTATGTCACTCTAATAAAACATCTACATACTGTATGTTGGTCCAGTCACACTTTCCCCCTTCATCCGTATTTCCCACACTTGCCCACTGTTAATTTTGCCCTTCAAATGTTAATATAACCATTAATGATCAGTTATTTACTAATAATTGCTGTCATGGCAAAAACATTACAGTATACAAGAATTACGTCCATGGACAATTACATAATGTCAGAAACAAAGACCTGTGTACTCTAGTGGGTTAAAATACTCTATTGTTGTGTGGAAAGATGTGATATACACAAGTGAGCTTAATAAACAAGACTTTGGTCATGCACATACAAGATTGACCTAAAAGAACACGAGACATTTGGTTCCTTCATTTTTAACCTCAAATCCACACAGCACAGTTAAAATACAAGAAGTACAAGGAGCTAAGAAAACAGTAACAGGTTGATAAACAAACTTGTTTCAGGTTCAACTCCATGACCTGGGTAAATCGGCACAGGAAGTGACAGGAAATGATGATTGAACACTGGAGTGATGCCTGGATTAGCCACCAGGTGTCAGTCAACAGTGCATCGGGTGGCCGTAAGGAGGCTCGTGGGGGTTAAACGCCATGACAAATGAATTGATCAGTTGAACTTGTGGTGTAAGTTATATGTAAAGAGATCACAATTTTGACAAGAGCCAAGTAAAACAATTATGTTTGGAAATTCTCTTTAGCATCATCCACGAGAACGTGCGACTTCTGGGGATTAGCACCTTCGTAGAATTGTATTACGATTGATTTATCTCAGCATAACAACTCGGCATGTACAAATATCTAGAGGCCTTCAAATTGCATGGGAAAAAATCAAAAATATAATTATTCTTTCACTTTCAAAGACATTCTTATTCTTTGAAAAAAATGTTTTCAAACAGAACTGCAGAACCTCTTTTACCCATTTGCACCTGGTTTTTCAAGAATCACCAGCATACTGTCATAGATGCTAAAAAGATATCCCCCTCCCCCCTAAACAGGTATATCACTCAATCTTCTATACCTACACAACAAAATGACCTTCGTTAATGATAGGCTACTGTAGTAAAAAGACCCCCTCGCCCCTCCTTCCCTAATTCCTCCCTCAAGTAAGCCATGGACCTAATATTTCCAGGGGATATTAAGTCTATAAGACATATCACATTTCTCTTGCTTCCTTTATTTCATTCCTGCAGACCAATTTATCTAAAATCTTGTTTTCCTTAGTCAATATCTGTGTCACTATGTTGACAAAAGACCAGTGCTTGAAAAGACAATATCATTATGGACAGATATGAATATTTGTTAATGTATGTACCTCAAACACATGAAAAAGCTGCCGTCGTACTTACACTACCGTGACTTAAAATCTATTTCCATGCATATTAATAGACAATTTTTACCTTCGTGCAAGGAGAGTTCTCCTGATAGCAATTCACTTCAAATAAACAACACATAGCAACAGTATTAAATGGCGTCCATCCAGACCAAAGCATGAGTGGAAATAAAAACTACATCAATGTATATTTGATGAGCTTAAAGCCAGACTTATATAGTTTGCCTTTGTTTACATGTGTGCACACCAGCCAGACCGCGTTTCTGTTGGGGCGATACAGTCAAATATTGATGAGTCCATATGAAGGAGTTAGGGTAGGAAGATGCACATGGTACTATGGGATCTCACACCAACTTCAACTAGATCAGTCCGAACGACAGCGTTAATGGCGTGTTGTATAATGTGACATGACGATACCTCAATGCCACGATTTAAAATGTGATATATGTGTCGAGTTAATTCACGATAATATTTCGGGTTAGTCAGTCCCTAGTGAATACATACGTGTAAAAATATGAGAACATTTCATAAATAAAAGATTCACACTAACACATCTCCAACAAGTTGGATGTTCTGATGTATACTGTCCTATGTGGAGACAATAAAAGTCTGATATTTAATTGTCCTGTAAAACCAGATCAGGAGGAAACACTGACGGTTATCCTGTGTATACCTGTCCTCATTGTATAAGTGACATTTGTCTCAAAAGGCTTGAGTCAGTGCCAACAATATTAACTGATATGAATTAAAAAAATAGTATGTGACTATTACAAGATGTATATAGTTAAATGAGTCATTTTTTGGAGATCTGATATTGTTATCAATCAGAAGTCCTGTTATCTTATTATGGCTATCAGAAATCTTAAGTCAATGTTTTGCACAATACATATGTTGATCACACTCTCAAAGTCTGGTCAATTCACTGTCAAACTTGAATATTATAACACCAAACACATAATAACAGAGATCAGTGTTAGAGTTATCTCCCTTTGTCAGGGGTCCCTTATTTTAAAATGTTTCCATAACAGTTATTTTAGAATGCCCTTGATGTCATCAATACATGTATTTCTTGCATACCTATTAAAGACAGTTGCCAAAGTCCTAATCATTATTCATAAACAAGTTTTCTGGCATAGAACTCTTTTTTGAACAGAGATAATGTTACTGTAACCTAAGTGAGAGAAGGGTCCAGGAACTACACACCACTTATCAACCATTTATTTGTTCACCACCTGTTCTATAAAAACAGGTACGAATTATGAGCGAGGTTTCACGCTGAAATTATAAGAAAAATAAATCCGTTTGCAAGTTGGCATGATTCATAGTATCTATATACTTCCGCGTTTATCAGTCCTTCCAACTGTTTTCGTCGACAATCTATGACATAATATTTACAATGTATCAGCAGAAAAAACCACAAGAAATGACAAATACTGATTCTACACATAATAAAATGTCTCCTTTTCTGCCCGTTTTTATGTTTTACTCTTCGAGAAGTCTAATAAATCCTGAGACAAATACTCCTCCTTAAGTATAAGAGCTCTGTGCCAAGATTTAGAAGGGAAGCCTGCGATAAAAAGCAATTAGTAGCATCAAAACAACTTCAACGGAAGAAGTTCGACAAATACCTCCATAATTACCAGCTGATAAAAACGTAAAACAAAATACTGACAGGAAAAAAGTCAAGCTGCAGATGCACATTAAATGGGTGCTTGTGACTCTATTTCAAAATCATCAACTCAAAATCTTATAAAATATCTAGACACCGATGATAGGCAAAATGTATGTGGTCGTTTATTCCAAGCGAGAAGAGTAACAAAATTAAATTACAGGTTTACTTATCCGAACAATTTATCTAAATTCAAGCAGTATTTAATGTTTGTGTTGGTTAGGAAGCATCTGGTTCGACTTGATCTCCTGTGATTCTGTCTCGACGTGGCATTAAATCTTAGACAAATGCAGTTCGGCTGCATCAATTCTGCTATGATTCCTGCAATGACTGTGTGCTGTGCGGTCTCGTATCTGAAATAAATGTCTTTTGATCTAAACAAATGAGCGTTTTCTTCATTTGTGCATCTTGTAAAACAATTAAGAACAAATGTTATCAATAACTACCAGGAAAGAATAGTTATTTTAAAATAAAAACAAATTGTTTTCTCCAGCTCTAATGTGTTTCTGAAAACAATTAAGGGAAAAGCCGTAAATAATTATTTGAATATTTTCTCGGTCATATTTTGCAGTGGTGAGTTTTGATGGATGTTTTCACAGGAGTTGGGTGGCCGGGAAATGTTTATAATTGAAACGCTCTCACTTGTGATTGTTCTAGTGGAGGCACAGTCAACCAGTGCTGGCTGGACACTTGATGAATAGGCTAACAATTTATCATTTTTCATCTTTCTGATGATGTCATCCAGTGGCGTGAAAAACACAGAACACCAATTACATGCAGGGTGGAAGGTCATGTTTGGCACAACTGCCGTTTCCAATACCATACACATGTTTAACAGTAGCCGACTCCTGGCATACAGACATATCGCGAACTGACGAGTGTCCCTCTCATGAAATAGAAAACACTAAGCATGCTATTCAAATAACAGTGAACATGCAATAGAAATGTCTCGTACATTGCTGGTAACAAAAAGAATGAGGCAATTTAATTGTACAAGATTTCCTGGTTTCGCTAAATACTTCTCAAATTGATGAGCAACATTTGCACTTTATTTTTAAAGCATTTTTCTCAATTTGATTTTATGCTTTGTTCTTCTAAAGACTAAAGAGGATTGTATCAGCCACAATCAATACTAACAAATTTTACTTCCTACACAGTTACGTTGGGTTAGATAGACAATTGCTTCGGTAGAACATTTATACTTATATCAGATATATATACTTTAAAACTTGTCTTGAGCGACCATCCTTTTGACTATTAATTTCAGAAACCTGCCTTGAAAGAATGATGTAATAAAAATTGTCTTGAAAAAACAACTTTTTTTTTGCGTGGAGTAAGAAACCTGTCTTGTCTTACTACTGTGGTGAAACCGGTCATAAGTAATGACCCTTGTGGGTAAGGAACCTGCATTGTCTGACTACTGTAGTGAAACCTGTCATAAGTAATGACCCTTGTGGGTAGGGAAACTGCCTTGTCTGACTACTGTAGTGAAACCTGTCAGAAGTAATGACCCTTGTGGGTAAGGAACCTGCCTTGTCTGACTACTGTGGTGAAACCTGTAATAAGTAATGACCCTTGTGGGTAAGAAAACTGCCTTGTCTGACTACTGTAGTGAAACCTGTCAGAAGTAATGACCCTTGTGGGTAAGAAACCTGCCTTGTCTGACTACTGTGGTGAAACCTGTAATAAGTAATGACCCTTGTGGGTAAGAAAACTGCCTTGTCTGACTACTGTAGTGAAACCTGTCAGAAGTAATGACCCTTGTGGGTAAGGAACCTGCCTTTTCTGACTACTGTAGTAAACCCTGCCATAAGCAATTACCCTTGTGGGTAGGGAACCTGCCTTGTCTGACTACTGTGGTGAAACCTGTCATAAGTAAAGACCCTTGTGGGTAGGGAACCTGCCTTGTCTGACTACTG